AATAACGTTTAATTGTAACGAACTGCTCGGCAGGTACGGTATTGGTAACTTTCGTTTTACTAGAACTGCCAAAACAATAAAAATAACTGGTTAGTACCGCCCTATAGCAATGATTAAAATGGTACAGAAATTAAGTTTCTGAAGTATTTGACAAATATTATTGCAGTGTGAAAATGAAGAAATTAGTTGATACATAAACTTGAATATTTTCAAACGATTGTTATGTTTACCTATCGGATAGAAATAAATATAAGCTCATCGTTGGCAGTTCTAATGTTAATACTTCGTAATATTTTAATACCTTTGATTCGATTTATTTGTACCTTTAATACCATATCTAATTATTTTGAAAGGGAAAGAGTAAACAAAATTTCATTCGATTACTTTTTCGACACAAATGGAACGCTTAGAACGGAGCCCCTCTGGAAAATGGAGGCCTGGGGCTCTGCCGTCATATTTCACCGATCGACTTATCGTTCGATTGTTTCCGAAAAGCAAGAAATAGAAAAAGAAAACAGTAGCGACAAAAAGAAAAAGGAGGAGAAAAGTGCCAACAGCACGCGGGAGGGAAGGATTGAAGCGGAAACTGCCTTTACGATCGCGTCGCCGGAAGCGTACATTTTTACGAGCTGTTTTTTACGAGCGACTTCACCATCCCCAACCACCACTTTCCACTCCTTCCAGTTTTCCTCCACGTCATGGTGCACGTACAGAGAACCACGGTAGAAATCTCTGCACGCTTTTAGAATGTCATCATTTATTTGACGCGTTCGTTCACTCATTTGCCCCGACCTCGCGGTACACTGAGTGGTCCATTTTCGTCTCGCTCGGTCTCTCTGTTTCTCTCTTTCCATCCCTATTGTCTGGAAAAACTGTTTGCCCGTCGAAGGAAAAAACGTTTCGCCGAGGACACTTTGCGTTTTGCTTAGCACGCGTTCCTGTTTTCGCACCGCGGTTCTGTCGGAATTCAATCCTCGAAACGTCGAGCGCGTACTCGTAACGACACATTGACTCGAAAGCGGATCGATGGTGACCTATACGGAAATTTTTGTTGTACCACATTGTCGAACCACCTTTTGGAGTACTTAACGTAATAATGTAATACGCAGGGTGGTCCACGAAATTGTTCAAAAAGTGTTACGTCTCTTTTCTGAGTGCAATTAGATAAAAGTGTTGAAAGGAAATTTTCCATTTTATTCCATGAAATATCATACTTCAGGACCATAATTCCCTGACAATTTAAAATAATATACCTTCGTGAATAATTCCCTGGTTTCATATGATTTTTCGTGACGCATTCTCGGTTCAGCGTCATGAAATATGTATGTATTAATTAAAAACGAACGAAAACGAGGGAACTTTTAGCAGAAGACTTTACAAGTGACGTCGTTTCGTAAAGTGTCAATTTTTGAAACGCTCGCGGCTCTGAAAAATGATATTAGCTTTCTTTTGCACGGCATAATTTTGAAAATCCTAGAGCGGAGAGACGAATTCGAGGCCATAAAGGTAACGAATATTCAATTAAATACATTAGCGTACACGGTGACTCGTCCCGCGCGTAGAACATCACCGAGAGAAATAAACCGGAAGTGTGACGAGAGAACACTTTTGCTTGCCAACGACGCGCTTTCGCTTCTGACCGTAGTTTTATGTTTCTCACCTGTTTCTCTGTAGACCTTGTCATTGCATGCGAATGAATCGAGTCTTGCTACGGTGACTCGAGCGTAGTATGGAACACGCCTAGATAACGCACAGCTTCTTTTCACCGACACCGACGACCACTTTTGTCGCCAATAAGATGGCTGACGTTGGTCGAGGTATTACTAATATCGCTAACGAAACTGGTGAGGTCGATTAAGAATCTGGAGGGATTGGTATTAACACCATAGTATAATACATTTTAACCCATTAATTGATAACGTATAAATTAAGTAATGATTAATTTATTTCTGTTTTTTTTTTGTAGTAGTCATTTTTTCACGACTTCAAAATACTATTCGGTAAAAGGGATTCATGTGATTCTCGTAAAGGTGTTAATTTTCGATTGTATGAAATATCTTTTAAAGAATGCGCAAATATTTTGAATATTGCAAAACGTTTCGAAGTATTTCGTTGTAGTCTCATTGTTCATCAATAAACTTCTGATACGAAAATTTACTTACAATGAGGATAAAATTTGGAGAAAGAAAGTCATTCTACTTCTGTGTAATTATGAAATTTTTTTTAATTCAAATCATATTCAAACTCAATTTACCTTCATTAGGTTGAATGCGTGGTGATTCGGAATTAGTGTCACAAAATTCAGAGTGAACAAAATTATTTAACGTTGACCTATGGTAGTCTTCGATTCGAAGCATCACTTCGTAGTAGGTATCCAATATGGCCGCCATTGGCCGAACACTTCGCGTGTTCCAAACTAATTTCTGTACATTCTATTGTATCGTACAATACCCTTTTCGTTTCAGACGATATCAAATCGTAGCACTGATGTACACACCAACCTTCAATTCACATTATAACAAGATAAAAGTACCTCGAACACAAACGAATCTGGAAACACCGCTGACCGAGCCATTTTTCAAAAATTCCTGTCAACGGACACGTCCGCAAATCGTGTGTGACGCTAATTTAGACTCATTGCACGCAACAAAATTCAAAATTGTACCGAACGTGACACAGAAATCAAGGCGTTTTCCCGGTTTAAAAGATCATTTAATTTTAACGAGTAGTTTTATGGTCGTCACGGGGCCGCAAGATATAAACTCGAGTGAGCAACGTGCGCGATTGAAAAATTTATGTTCCACGTGGAAATCACTCGATATATCCTGAACCAGACCGTTAAACGTCCCGAGCGCGCAGTATTTATACGATAACACGTGACAACGATAAAGTTAAACTTTTTCCCTCCCCAACACCACCAGCCACCGTTGAACATTTTCCCCGACTGTGGCTACGGTTTTCCTTATTTTCGTTGCGCCGTGTATCCATTACAGTGTCGCGACCGGAAACGACGATCAAACCGACGATGATTTCATTTACATAATTGTCGTTCAGTTAAATATGAAACGCACTGGACCATAGTTAATCAGCCCCGTGCTCGTTTATTATCGAGATATTAATTCATTATTGCCTACAATGCTCGGTGATTGTAAATCAAGTTTGCTCGGACGAAATTATGCGAACGAATAAATCACGATCGCGTGAAATGTTATTTGAATTCCTTACGTCAGCACGACGAATCGTGCAGAGTGTGTGTGTGTACAGCGATGGGTCCATGAACAGATTATTTGAAATATGTTCGAGCTTCTATGAAGAGGAAGAGTTTGGACGGGGTCCAAACCGAATTTAATCATGGCGCCGTGAAATTTCACAAATAGTCCGATAACACTTCAATGTTACAACTCGAGCCAGTGTACACGCTTCAAACAGGTTGATGACGTTTTAAACTGTCATTTCTAGCCGCTGTAAACGTTTCAAACTTCAAACTCGAACTAATATAAACATAACGAACAATTTGATTTGAGCAAACTTCAAACTCAAGTCAGTGTAAACGGTTCAAACAGTTTGATGACGTTTTATACTGCCAATTGGAGCCGCTGTAAACGTTTCGAACAGTTTGATGACGTTTCAAACTTCAAACTCGAACTACTATAAACATTTCGAACAATTTGATTACATGTCAAACTTCAAACTCGAACCAGTGTAAACGCTTCAAACAGTTTGATGACGTTTCAATTTGAGTTGAACGTTCATTTTGAACACCTGGCCATGATCAGACTCGACTTGGACTGTGAAAAACTCCTCATCGGATGTTTATGCTTCCACAAACCAGGTGAATAAAAGTCACGCCTTGAACCATGTGGGGTTAATTTTGCCCTGGACATTATCCATCAACAAACATATCATTTGAATACAAATGCACTTTAAAATGGACGGACCTAAATACTTGACCGTATATTTGAAAAAAAATACAGAAGTTTAAAAACCTCTGAGGTTAATTTAATTTCACATGGTTCGTGAAAGGTTAAAAACGTTTGAACAATTTGATTATCCCATCGCTATGTATGTATGCGTGATGCCCGTTACAAATTGATCGACAGAGGAGCCGATACTGGGTCAATGCTAACCCATACCGAAAAATGTTATCATACATATTTATAGATTGCAGTGGACAACATTTCGAGTATTATCATCATAATCATTTAAAGAATATCTCAGTAATTACTGGTATTCGAATCCATATTACCTTAATCATTTTTTGTTCAAATTTCAATAATCTCTCTAATTGAAGGGTGAAATGTTACACATTACATTGAAAAACTCAAGGTAATCTTCATATCTCGGTAAAACCACAAGATAATAAAAAACTAAATATAACATTTTAAGACCCCCTTCATACCATACAACTTGTGTTTAAAACGTATAACAAACAATTCTCATATAACAAACAATTCACAAATAATTGAAGATGATACAGGAGTTAGGTGACCCACCCTGTACAGTTCATGCATTTTGCGTCACATTTATTATCCTTTCGTAGACAATGTAAAACCCGATAAAAATCGTCCCAGTACCCAGTTCAAGGGTTAAATCGAACCCAATTAGCCCCCAGAAACCGCAGAATCCTTTCGTCGCGACGCCACCCAGTACAAGCCAAGCCAAGAGATTCACGCGTCCCCCAGAGTCGGTTGTACCCGATCACGAGTCGCGATTAGAAAGGGCCAGCGCGCGCGGTACACACGATAAAGCAAAACGTGTCCTGGCGAGACAATTCCAAAGACAAGAAATCAAGCCTCGCGAAGCCCCCTTAACCCCCCGCCCCACGGGAGTGTGTTATCCCTCTCGGTGCAAGCCTCCCAAAGGAAATCCCACGCGAGTGAGATCGGTGTTCCTTTCAACGATCGAATCCCAATCTCCTTGGGGAGGAACGGCAGTGCGGGGAGGGAGGGCGAAGACAGAGGCACGGAGAGAACTGAACCTTGTTAAAACACGATTTCCAGCACTGACGCCGGTGATGCTGTCGTTGTCCGGTCCGTTGCTCGGCGCGGTGGTCGGCGCCACGGCGGGCCTGCTGCTGGTGATCTTCGTGATAGTGCTGGCGGTGAGATTGCGCTATCGACCGAGGCCGCAGGAGGACAAGGACTCTCACGACGACGGCGGTATGGCGAACCTGGCCGCGTCCGGCACCGGCAGCTCATCTCCACGTGATAAATCGTCGACCTTGCCTCTCAACTCCGACAGCATCGAGAGCTTCGAGAAGGACCCCGATATAATTCCTCACGCTAATGGTGGGTAATTCAACGACGTGTGTGTGTGTGTGTGTGTCGCTACTGACCGTTGATGTTCGCGCAGGATCAGTGGAACGGTTTACTAACTTTAAGGGGTTATGCCTACCTGCGAGCTCGAAAAAAGACATGTACACTCGGAATTTATTTTTAAAAAACATTGAAGACTTTTTTAAACATACGTTACTGTAGTCGAAAGTTTACATTTTAAAGTGCTTGTAGTAATTTCTTCAATGCAAAATATGAATAAATAGGGGAAATATCAGCGATCTCCCGGCCGTATATTTAAAACCCAAAAATCAATTTTTTTTTTATTTATAGGTAGGCATAACCTCGTAACACATTCGGGACGGGCCGTGACCGTGTTTTCCGACCCCATGGGCTGGAGAAATAAATTTGTCTTGTTTTTGCTTTCAGTGTCAATATGTCATTATAAGGATTCTAAGAAACATTTAATAATAGAAAATGTTTTTTATCACATTTTTTAATGGGAAATATAGCTTCCATACGAATGTGGGAATTAGGTGAAACTTTAAAGGTGCATATCCATTTGTTTTCCAATGGAAACAAAATCCAACAGAATTTCTCGAATGTACACCTAACTAGAAATATCGAAATTAACGCGAAAACTCATAATATCCACGCTGACTCGACTCGACGAAAGCAAATAGGCAGCAAAACGTAAAACAGCTTTGCTCGTCATTATTTCCTTTGAAAATCGGTCGAAATAAATTTCGTTCTTTCGACAAGAAATATTCATGCGCTAATTACTATCGTCAGGTGTTAATTATTCGGTCGTCGGCGGTCGACCTTCCTCGACGTTATTTGCATGAGGATACGGCGAGGGGGGTGTGATCTACGCTGGCGTAGTTAATGAAGAAGAAAGTGACTTGATTAACCTCAGACCTGTTCGTCAGTTCACTGAGGCCAGGGCGCACGAAAGAATTAATGTAACGCGTTTGCACGGTGGCTGATATCTCGGCCATGGGGAGGGTGTAGAAAAAAACCGGGAAAAAAGAAATGGCGGCAATTAGCTCATTACGGTGGAACAACTTTTCAGAAGATTCCGGTTCCTTTTCAGATTCATTGCCTCGATATTACAGAGAAATATTCAGGTTATTTTAAAACGAAATACCGATAGATAGTCGATTAATTTTATTGTAAACGTAAATAATTTATTGGGTGCCTCGGTTGTAGAAAATTTCCGTGGAATAAAAGAAACATTATCCGGGCACGATGAACGATTTCTGAACAGAATTTGCGTAGTGGCAGAGTATTTATAAAAGAAAAATGTTTGTAAATTGATAACGTGAAAATCTTCAAATATTAAGAAATAATAGTAAACGTTTGAACATTAAAAAATTGTTGAATATTATATATTAGCAATCTTAAATTGTCATGCAATTAGCGGATTCGTGTTAATGATACTTATTAGATGGATAATAAGGCTTTTTAAACGAACAAACCTAATGAAAGATAAACTTACAATTAACTTACATAGAAATGTTATGGATAGAATAAAAAGTCTGTATGGTAGATAGATGAACAGATCATCCCTATAATATTAAATTTTTTAATTGAATATTTCAGCCATTATAATTACTGCGGTATCTATAGGAATTCACGTTTTTGGATGACTTCGTACTATGGTATTAAAAAAATTAAAATTATCTATAGAAACTATCAATATTTGACAAAATGGCGGCTGTTTGAACTTAAACTTGTAGTTTCCGACATAAATTTACAACTAGTTTTGTTACTAAAAAAACAGAACAAAAACGCAAGAATAAAAAATTCGCTTCGTCAAGTAGATATTAGATTTTAGTCTTAAGAATATTACCGCAAAGTTTGATCGAAATTGGTTTGCTAGTCTTTTAAATATTCCTGATACCGATTTTGAAAACTGTTAAGGAAATAACACATAATAAGACCTATATGTTGAATTTTTAATAAGCAACAATTCCGCATATACAAACAAAATTTGTTAATTTTCCCTCTCATGTAACAGCTCAAAGGTACGTAACCCTTTAAAGACTGCAAAATCTGCACGTGTACACCTTCGTCGTCGATATTCCATAACGCAATTTTTACGTGCAAAATTTTGTCGTTGCGCGAATTAACAGCATCCACGAGCACGCGTAACGTACAATACATGTGCTCGAAAATAAGCTCCGCCAGCTAAAGGGTTGAAACAATGAGGAACGATTGCTTTGAGGTTCCATGGAACGAACGAGTCGCGGGAGAAGTGCTCGTCAGCGGCCGTAAAACAGTTAACAAATCATCTTGAACTGTTTTTTTCCGCAGAAAATTCGTACGCGGAGCTGTGCAAGGGCACCTCGCCTCGCTACGTTCTCCACCAGCCACGAACGGACCCGAGCACTTTCACCAATGTCAATAACGTGAGTACAAATTGCCTTAATTGAACAGCGCCAGGAAGTTTCTCCGCCCCTAGCGAGAGCGTTCCATACGTGTCGCAGTCATAAAACAAAGAAAACGAGGGTCCCGATAAAGCGAAAACTTTGAGGGCTGGCTCTTTTTCTCTCTCTCTCTCTCGTAACTTTCAAACCGGCATGCCTTTCTACTCCTCCCTCCCATCCACATCCCCCTTTTTTTCCTTCACTTTTTCGTTCGAGTCTTTTTCCCCGGTCGAGCACGATTTTCCGCTCGGAACTCGTCAATTTCTGTGCCCAGTTGCTTCGTAATTAACGTGAAACATTTTCAAAGAGAAAGTATTAATTTCGCGATTTGTAGAATTTAAGGGATGGGTAACCGACAGAATGTACACTTGGGTAATCTAGTAATTACGTGAATGTATGATGTTAAACCTTTAGGGATTATGAACTGCTGTAATCTTGGGTTCGTGGCCTTTGCAGGTGAAAATCTGTTCGATAGATTTTACAGGAAGTTTAGTTTATTATTATACTATATATTTATATTTTAAATCCTTATGCATTCTGATTAAAATAAAAACGAATCACGTTTTTCTAGGAAATATAATCTATCTCGTTCTGAAAACACATTATTTCTCTTGATTTCAAACATTGCATATTTAGTTCGTTTTTATTTTAACCATAATATATAAGAATTAAACATTTCAAGGTGGTTCTAGAGTTATGGCACGCAATATACAGGATACAATATTCACAAAGCCTCGGATAATATTTTTCCCAAGGAAAAACTTGTTCCAAGTATCCTCACGAGTGACCCATTTCAGGGACCCACAACACTTTCGTTACACCCTGTATATCAAGTAGTCAACTAGATAGTAGCAACGCCTAGGATTTCCTAGTCATTATACGATCATCGTAATGTACAGGCAATTTCGAAGGGTCGAATAAGGCTGCGTCCAAAATGTAAAAATCTAAATTCGCCTTAACGAATCACCGATTCACCGATATTTTTCAGGGATCAGAGCTAACCTACGCCGAGCTGTCGCTCCGTGGGAACCGGCGAATACCGCCTAATTGTTATCAGCCGGTACAGGTGTCCAATATTCAGCGACCTCAACTGCTACCCATGTCGACCCTGACGCGCAGGCAACCAATCCAGGAACCGACGATTTACGCGCAAGTCGCCAGTCATTCCAAGCCAATTTATGTGCCGCCCCCGCATCCCTACATGAGCCGCGGCACCGACGAAACCACGGCAGAAACTCCATTAATCGGACACGACAATAAGGTGACAACTAATAGACGACCGTTGGGAGGCTTGCCCGCGATGCGATCGCCGTGACCGCTCGTAACTCTAGCCGATTCAGGTTCCCCCGTTTCAAAATCGGAATTGTTGGACTTCCGGCGCGACATGTCCGGCACGATTCGGATTTATCGTAGCGTTAGCTGACATTCTCAGGTGCCCGCGGGATCTCGAATTGAACGTTTTCGTTACATGAATCGCTAACTGCAGAAAGGGGACATATCAGAATCTTATCATTTTCAGGGGACATCTAAACATGTCCCATTTCTGTAGTAAACAGAAATTACAGTAAAAACATTATGAGAGTTTGAAAGTCGGGTCCGCTTCCAAACTTTCACGGTGCACCGCGAATCATTTTGATACCTCACAATTCTATTGTTTGCCCAGTCCCCACCCAAAGGGGGGGGGGCAATAAATTATACTCTTGGCACGTTCCACGTCCTCCCCAGTGGTGGGAATGAGGTAGAAACTCTTACGATGAACTTCTTATCCAACTCTCATCGAGCCTTTACTGTATTTATGTCCATGGCTCACTAGATAACGAATAGATACGACACTTTTCAGGGTAAACGGGGTGTATTCAGCCTACGAAAGTGGTACCCTGCTGAAAAGAAAATTTCCTTAGAAAAATTAAGATATCCCGTTTCTGCAGTTTGTGATTTAAATAGAGAATGCTTGAAGCTTCTTATTAAAGGTGGAAATGTTCCAACTTACGGCACTACACACATACAATAATTTATTACCGACTGATATAATACTGTCTCCGTCGGATACTACTTCATCATTACGATTTTGTTCACGTTATAAAAATTCATTAAATTATTTATGAAATGCATGTGCCTTCTCTCCACTACACTAGAGATATACATATGAGTCAAAAGTGACCCGGTGAGTCGACATTAGGCATGAGTTAATGAGTTGTAACACAGACGAGATATAAGAATAGACCTAACATCTTATGAGACTTGGTGTCCCACGAAAATCACGCTAGTTAGAGCACACCTCTACATAAAAGTGTCCGATATCAGGTATTACATTCGACACCGTGATAACGCACAGCACACACATACACACACACCCGTAACTGCATAGAGCGAAACATACCTACATTATTGCCGCGGTTTCGCAGCAAGAAATGGAATTCTGAAATGGTACGGGGGCTTTTGACGCCCTCGAAGCATGGGAAAGAAAATTACATTGCATGTTAGGTCTATGCTCATATCTCGTCTGTAGTTGTAACGTGACACTTACAGAATTCTTTAACAACCTTTTTATTATCTTATGGTAACGTATCGTAATTGTTTTATTCGCAGATCACCACGATCAGCCATTCGGGCAGCTCGCTATGGCGCACCGACACGCCGCCATCTTCGAACGCACCGACGACATGATTCTAAGCAAGCTCGATCTCGGTCGACGCAACAATTTCGCTCTTGAACGTTTCTCGACGCACCGTTACCAATGAAAAGAAACTGTACACGCGTAAAACAAGCGAACGCCACGAACAAACCGTTCCCTCGTGTCCCGTTCGCGATCGGAACGTGTCGTGGGCGGTATCCGTTAACAAAAGCTCCCGTACGAACGTTGCGGAAGGACACGAAGACGGTGAACGATGAAAGTAAATTTAAAAAAAAAAATATAAATACAAAATGAAAACGTTTGCGCGAGGGTATAGTACGAAATATATTAGTAATATGCTTACCTAACGATTCCGTGATAGAGTTGTTATCGTGGCGAAAAGGACACGTGAAATCGGATCGTCGCGATCTCCATTGAGAGCATCGTCGCCGATGATCACGATCTTGGGTAAGAATGTTTCTGTTCCGCGGGTGAAACGACCGATGGCGCAGCGATCGGCGATTATGGTCCTAATAAAACAATATGATACGAACAACGTCGAATTTACAAGCGGGCCCTTTTCAGCCGTCCGTGATCATAAAGGTGAGATTACGAAACGATGGGAATTACGAGACCCCGAGGGACTGCAGAGTTTCTCGTCCGCCGCGATTCGTCGGCTCGATCGGTTACGACGTAAATAGCGACGCCATTCCACACTTATTGTTTAGTCTGGGTTTTTTGTTATTCGTTGAAAATCACGATGTATATGGCATACCAAGCGAACATGAGCTTGACTCACTTTTAGCGTGCAGACGCGAGCAGAAATCTTGATAGAGAATCTTCAGCTAATTGCAAGTTCGAGACTTTTCCTGATGAAACTTGAACTGAATGTGGTTATTACATTTTATATACAATTATAATATATTTGTTGTGTATATACTACCACCCATTAGTCATCGAACACTACCATTATTTGTGTAAATATAGAATTAGAACGAACTAATGCTATTAAATTGCATGAAGGGACATATTGTTATTAATTCTTCAAATTGGGAAGTATTTGTAAACCGTATTGCGTTACGCGAACAACGATAAATAAATGTTTTATATCAATATATTGATTAATGTCACGATTTTCCGATATCACATACAACAGATTATTATTTTCTAGTATTTATAAATAATCCTAATAGGTATTTGATATACTTTTTTGAATACTTTTAAAAAGCATCCACATCCATAATAATTTTCATTTTTCTCGAGACAATCGTTCGGTTACTTTTGAACGGTACCATGAAATCAATGCAATTGGCTGATTGAAACTCGAAGAACTCCATTAGGATTTTCGAAGTTCTAGAGTACCTTCAATTGACAGTAAATGGCAGACTAATACTAAAACGTTAATGAAAAATAACCTTCAGTTAGTTATTAAAAATGTTACACAGTAATCGCTGCCGAATTATTCATCTGTGAGACGAGTAGTCTCTGATTAACCCTCATCCGTTCCTCATTTTTCCAACTTAGTTCTGTCCGTCGTTAAATTAACGTAGGGGTAAAAAATTAATATAACGGACAGAATAAATAGTTAAATTTGCAAATTCTTTCAAATAAAAGTTACGGAACCTCAGCTAAATTTACGTAGACATGCCCGAATAACTTCATTTCGTATAAGAAAAATTTGTCGAATTGACATAAGGAGCGGATGAGAGTTAAGTATTAAGACTTAATAGATAAAATACATCACTCTTCGAATATGGTATCTGTAAAACAGTCCCTTATTTTTTCAATCTATTATTTTAATTAATAGTCAGACCGTCTAAGCTTATTCGAACGAGAATTTGCAACTATACTTGCATCTTTTGTTTGAAAACTTTTTTTCCTTGAATAATGGAGTTTGCTATCGCTACCCGCGTCTACATTAAATCTAAACGAATAACAAAAAGCGTTCGCGACGCCATGAAGTACAATCAAGACGACGAATCTGTAATCGTTTCGTTCAGTATTACATTTCCGCGAAGAGTGTAATCGGTATCGGTGGGGGAGGGACGACGATTGTTCCACGATGATGATGATGATAGATATATTATATGTGTATATTAAGCGTGCGTCGAAAATGGACACTCGTCCGGAGGTGTTTTTCTGCAGCTGAATTATTTATTGTTGGACCGTAGGCGACGAAAAAAAAAAGAAGAAATTTCCGTGTACAGTACGGGTCTAGATAAATGCGGTGTTATTATAACGATGTTACGTAACCGTGGATAGAGTTTTAAAAGAAAACATTTTTGACGATTTTCGAAGTGATATAAAATATATTATATATATACATATACGCGTCTGTTGGTTATCTTAGACTCATTCTGTATGTATGATCGTTGCTCATTTCGAAGCTTTAACCGCCCCAACGGGAGGAATATGGTTCTCTTTTTTGTCTTAAATCGTATAGTTACCCGCTAATCGCGTGAAAATCTTTATTTAGCCTAGGTCGACTAAGTTAGAACGTTATTTGTAAGGTGATCGTATCCATTATGTTCGGTTCGAGAGGGATCACGAATGTTAGTCGAAAATTAAATAATATCTTGCGATCGTTAGGATTCCTTGTATAGAAGCTCTACTACAGCCAAAGTATCATATTCTTTTAAACAAGTTTGTATTGAAAATAAGATCGTTATTAACACAATAATTCTTATGTATTAATATTAATTACTGTTTTCGTACTATTGTATTAATTAATAGTTTGTAAGGGTTCTTTAGTATTATTAGATAAGTTGGGAAAGGTCAAACTTTAACATTTAACATTTTGGAAATTATTTTGGCTGTTAAACTGTTGTTTTACAAAAATAGAAATTTTTTATATCCTCATGAAATTTTGTATACTTAAAGTGTATATGTATACATAAATGTAGCTTCACTTCTACAATGTTAACATCAGTCACTGCAGATCTTTCCTAACCTATTGCGTCATATATTAATTTTATATTAACAGTTACAATAAGTTGCTATTTAATTGTCTATTAATTTCGCAAGAGTTTTTAAGAGAATTTTCGATAATCTCTTTTCTTGAAACACATTCAGATTACTCAACATTCATTATGTCGTACAAGTTATCCCAGAACGTTTTCAAAACTCAATTAATATAGTATTTTCTCGTGACACATGTTTTAAGTATTGGTTTCTTTATTATTAAATATTCAAAACAAATTTTCTGTGAAGAAATACAATACGCGCGACAATTATGCAAATACTAGAAACATTTTTGATAGATACTATACAAAATGGTGGAAAAAGCGGCATGTAATGTTCTGTTTAATACTCCAATATCATTTTCCGTTCCAAATTCGTCGCGAACAAAATGAAGAACTCGATAGCTTGATAATGTTGTATTCGCTATTGTTGTAATATTCTTGTGAAATAAGGCGAAAATTCTAATTATATTCGCATCTTATTAATAAAGTGAAAGATTACTTACTGATACAATAAATTTTCAAGAATATATCAGAATTCAATCATTCATTGCCTTTTCACATCTTCACTTTTGATTTGAAAAAAATAGTGAAAATAATAAATTAATGAAACCATATGACACTTTTTGAACCCGTTGACTGATAAAACCAAAGCTTCCGGCCGTCGCCCCCTCCGCCACTTTGTAGACTACATAGCAGTCCTGTTCCCTAGGTTATGCATAAATATTGCGAACAGTATTTCTATGGCAGAAAATTTATTTCCAATATTCCATCACTAAAGCATCGACATCTTACGAAAAAAATTGCTGTTATTAAGTGCACCAACAAGTAATCCACTATTTCTTCACGAAATTGATATTAGTTTCTACAGAAGTCAAGGATCGAGAAAATACTTTTAATTTAAAATATGTCGCCTCACAATTAAACGAAATAATGGATTTCTCGTTGTTACACCTAATATTTATAATCGAAATCCAGAGACCATTGGAACAAACCGTGTATTAATTGTGTCATATAAATGCGTAACTTGGTTTTTGTAGTCCAAGAGGGAAGCGTATATTTGTTAATCGCGCGCGATATGATCACCCTACGTTATCAACGAGTTACCAAGGTTGCACATCCGAGAGTCAGATCGACGAAGCGTGTCGAGAAACGAACAGCGAGAGTGAAGATCTCGGGGAGCGCTTCCTAGTGTTTCGAAGACTGAGAAAGAGTAAAGGAAACGGAAAAGGGAAAATAAAGCGTGGAGAAAAATTTTCTGTTACACTTGCTGGAAAAGATATAACGGAGTCTAGTAAAATTAGCCTAAACTAGACGTCAAATTGAGCTTGGGTCCATGCACAAAATCCGACTTTATGGAATGAAAACTAAATTACAGAGTTTATACACTTCCTACCATATTACAGGACCATGTTGGTTTTCATCGAATCTGTTGAGTATAAAAATGAGAGATTGTGTTTTTATCATTTTCTAACATTTCTTACGAGATCTCATATAAAAAGAAACGAGACTATTCATAGAATATTTTTACTCGGAAAGTTCTGACTTGGTAGACTGCCAAATAATGAAAGCTCCACTAAAAGAGTGTTTCCACGCATAGACTTGTTTCATTGTCGTAAAACAAAATTACTACGTTCGTGGGACCACTTCATCACATATTTCTGTATACATAATATCAAATTTCTCTTAATTCCCGAGTTGCTGAAATTTCTCTTGTTCCCAGAAGGTGCTAGGAATACTTGGACAATTGTTCTGAACAGATAGTCCCCGGTTGACTGACGATAGTAAACGAAAACCAGTGACAATATTTCAAGATAGAATAGATGCAGTTTAAAAAATTAACTTACTATTCATAACATCAATGGATTTTGGTTTTGCCATAGAGAATAGATGTCGCAGTCTAGTGCCATTCTGTAATAAATGGTAACGACCAGACGTAGCGACTTGCATTATTCAAGATTCTCACTTTTTCTCCTCAGGGTTTCACAACTTCGTTACAGTATGCACACCCTTTTTCCGTAATGTCTTCGTCGATCTTTGCGATTTTACGAATTTCAAGTCCATTTTCGAAGGTACTCATTAGACTGTGGATTTTTCTACACATTTACTCTTTTTAAAATGATTCAGAAGAACAATACAAAATATGGAAATGTCTTTCGTCTCTTTCAGTATCTTACTGGGTTCAGAATAAAATAGAA